AAAATTATTTCAATAAATATACGTCTTTGGGGGCGAATACTCTCCGCAAACGCATTTATACTCTTTTACACAAGTATTATATATAATTCTTGTTGGGAGAATACATATCTCCAATACTCGTTACCAGACGCAGAATATATCTGTCCGGCCCTCTACTTTAGTCGCCAAGACAGTAATATTAAGTGGAAAGATTTCGTTTCTAAGTCGAAACAATTCGAACGAGGCAAGACTAGAGATAAAGTCAACGCCGGAGACCGGCGGTCAACGGTGGTTAACCGGCCGGAAAAAAAAAATCAGGAAAAAAAATTTCAAACAAAATTTCCAAAAAGAAAAAAGAAAAAAAAAAAGTCAACGCCGGAATCTGGCCGGAAAAAAAACAGTTCAGAAAAAAAATTATTTTCTGAAAAAAAAAAGTTTTGGGGGTTAATGTGATATATTTGTTTAAATCCGGGGTCAATGTGTAATATTAAGGAAGTTAGAGCATAATGGGTGGAATTGTTAAGAATTATATTATTGAGGGTATTTTAGACTAAAGACATGGAGATGGGCTTAATTGAGAGACTGTTTTTTTTGTGGACTAAAATGCATTTAAGTCCCATGTGATGGGCCTTTTTGCCATTTGCCCTAATTAAATAAAGCCTTATCTATAAGCCTCAGCCTACACAAAGAAAAGATTGATATATCGTGTCATTTGATTATATGGAATATTCTCCAGTTTGTATCCGTTTTATTTCATTTACGCTCCATAGATATTTTGAAACAAAATAATCATAAGATATGTCTCTTGGTTTGTAAAAGTATGTTTAACTTGACACTATAAAAGTGGAAGTGTAAGAAAATTCATCGTCGAGGAGGCTGGTTGTACTAATCTTAACAAAATGGAATTTTTTTGGTTATTGACCTTACATGTTTGTAATTTGTTGGCTGTGATTTACCCTACTTATAAATTACTCTGTTTCAATACAATTGATGCGGGATAATTACAGTTTTCGTCCCTATATTTGTCACCTAAAACAATTCTAGTCCTCAATCTTTTCCTGCCACGATTTTAGTCCTCAAACTTACCATTTTTTAACAATTTTGATTTGGCCGTCAACTTCCCCAGTTAAGTTGGATGGAATTGTCACATGCGCTGCACGTGGCGACCATGTGGCAGTCAAAATTAAGTTGAAAGACGAGTTGGACGACACCTCATCATCTCTCTCATATATCCTAAAACCCCCAAATTTACATCTTCAAGTTCCAAATCTCTTCCCCAAATTTTGTCCGTGAAACCTTCAATTTTAGGGAGAATTTTTTGTTCCCTTATTGTACCTCAATTTGTGAAAAAATTAAGTAATCCATAAACTTCAATAGATGATGGTTTGTTGACTTCAAGACTGGAGAAGGATTGCGTTTTGATTTTCTGTGTATCGAATCCACTTTGCGAATGGGCAACCCCCTCAATCAGAGTAGGGGTAGTGGGAGAAAGTGTTTGTTTTGATGTTCTCTTTAGGTGGGATTTGAGAAATCGAAAAATTAAGAGCAGATAGCTGCGCATTTACATATTTTAATTGCTTTCCGATACTCAGAGGAGATGAATACCACATATTTTTGGAGATTCCACCAATTACTATGGTGCTTGACAGGGGTATATAACTAGTTGTTGAACCCATGGCATCCTGCACATGTCGGTTAAATTTATGTGTGAAATTAGTCCTTTTTTTTCGAATTATTTCGGCATGATCAAATTCCTATAAGTATAGTGGAGCAGCATGATTACCTGCTCCATGTTGCTGATCAATTAGTAGATTTCTATTGGGTTTTTTTTTTTTTTTTTTTTTCCAATTTTCATTTGCGCCTCCACATTTTTTCTCCGTGATGTTTGTGCACCCAATAGATCCAATTGAAAATTAAGTGAAATAGGATTTTGGGGTGGGGTTTTGGGAATTCGAAGATGGAAATTTGGGAGTTAATGTAGAAGAGAAATTAGGGATTTGTTGTAGGGAGATATGAGAGAGATAGAGAGAGACAATGAGATGTCGTCCAACTCATCTTCCAACTTGATTTTGACTGCCACATGGTCGCCACGTGCAATTCCATCCAACTTAACTGGGGAAGTTGACGGCAAAACCAAAAGTGTTAAAAAATGGTAAGTTTGAGGACTAAATTCGTGGTCGCGAAAGTTTGAGGACTAAAATCGTTTTAGGTGGCAAGTATAGGGACGAAAAATGTAATTAAGATCCAAACAGTTGCACAAATATATGGTCTATGAAAAAACTAATAAACAAGCCAGAAACCACAAACCTCAGTTTAATTAAAGAAGAACAAATTAAACAATATTTTCAACATACACAAGAAAAGAAAAAAGAATTCAAAAAAAAAAAAAACAATTATTAAGAAAAGTTTGTAATTCCCGTGATCAGGACGACAAGAGTCCCATGCACAACAAAAGAATCCCGGACACCAATCCGAACCCCACATTCATCTTCCCGGATCCATTTCCGGGACTGCTCGTCGATGGGGCTTTGGCAGCGCCGCCATCCTTGGCGGCGCTTCCAGAACCATCACCATTCGGAGGTGGAGAAGCCGCCGGGGGTTTCGGCTCAGAAAATTCTTTAGGTATAAGTACCTTATCGACCTGGTAAACCGCGAGCGGTGGGTCTTTCCTCAATGCATTGTAGATCGGCACTTCGACGATTCCGGTGGACACGTTGACCTGATTCCCCTGACCGGTGAAGTTGAGCCCGAACACTTGGTTGTCCTGCCCGCTGGCCTGTGTCCTGACCGGGTTGCTGACCGTCAACAGACTTTCAAGAGAGTAGAACTTTGGGCAAATGTGGTAAAGCACGAGCTGGACTTGCTGCTGGTTTGTGAGTTTGTTGAGGGTGCCAGGTGGCAGGTTGTTGAAGGCGTTGTCGGTCGGGGCGAACACCGTCATGCCGTCGTGTGAATTGTTGACCTGGTTGTTGATCTGGTTGGCTGCCTGAGTTTCGTTCAGGAGGCGGATGAAGGTGGTGTATTGGTTGGCCTTTTCGAGGATCGCGGTGATGTTGATCGGGCCGGCGGGGGTGGGTGGCGGCGCCGACTGGGCGTGGGCGGTGGGGAGGAGGAAGAGTGAGAGAAGAAGTGTAGTGAGAGAAAGGAGTATGAGTGCCATTTTTTTGGTGGTGTAGTGAGAATGGATTGGTGGTGTGTGGGGTTTTTATGGGGATAAGATGAGAGAGAAGATTAAATTGGAGTTTGAATTTGTTGGTAGTTAATGAGCTGGCGGAGGAATCAAATCCCATCGAAATTTTCATATGAATGTTTTAAATATTATGTGATGCAATCCATGTTAGCAAAAAAAAAAATACAAGCTGTTTGGCGCAATTAAAAAATAGGGTCATTCACATTTAATCACGAGCTGAGGTGAGGTCGATTGACGAAAAAATCCTCACTTTGGTATAAGTACAATTTGCATACACCCTCTGAAGTATAACTTTGTTTTAGAATTACACTTTAAGGAGTTATGAGTAATGGAATATTGAAGGTTTCACGAAATATTCGTTATGAATTTCCAGTTTTACTCTTTTCAGACTAATATAATATAACTCTCGGGGGGTAAATGTAATATTTATAAATAAAAAAAAAAGATTTTATACAATTTAACTAAAATTGTGGCAAATATGGTACAACATAATAATCTTGCTAAGTTGTGTACTCATGGGTAATGTGTACATTTCACACTTTTACATTTTTCTTTTTCTCTATGTTTGATTAATTAAATGGGTAATTTAGGCAATTCCATTATTCCTTTAAGGTTTCTAGGCAGGATTATTAGTTTCAGGGGTATATGTAATTGTCAATTGCAGAGGAGTTTTTTCGTTATTCACGCATATAACTTAGGAGGCTATTTGTAATTTACCCTTACAAGTATATATATATATATATATATATATATATATATATATATATATATATATATATATATATATATATATATATATATATATATATATATATATATACCTACACGCACCTCTATATACGTATGGCTATATAACTACAAGACGAGATGTATTACCCACTATACGTGAGGGGAGGATGAAGAAGGCTCGTTTTTAACTTTCGTTAGTAAATTACCAAGAGAGTAGCTCAAAAGGACCAATGAAACTGGCGGGAGTC